TCAAATTCAAGTTCTTCAAAGACAATCATATGAAGAATAACTTAACGAAGATTAAGACTAAGCAGTGCATGCATATCAGAGCAGCAGCAAAGTCGTCATGACAACTTGAAGCGTGCACATGAATCAGCATTGTAGTAAAACATGCGAACTTAGTGATGATTTTGTTAAGTTTAGCTTGTGGGACAAAAGGAAGAGGACGAGAACGAGGATTTGATGAGAACGAGGACTGGATCTAGACGTCATGGCCGTGATCGGTTGAAAACAGAATATTTTACCTTGGACCATTATGCCCTTCTCTGATTAAACTAATTAGGTTTATTCATTTTTAATCCCGCACCAAATCGGACGGCTAATAAAAATCGGAGGGGTGAGTACTCGAAAGTATTCCCAGTACTGCCCCAATCACCGTAAAGGAGCTCTTCGAGTGTACATTGAAATGCTTCAGATTTTGTGCCTCATGAAAGAACACTTTTATGTTATGAAATCAAACTTTTCTATTTCTCAAAAGACGAGGTCTATTTCAATATTTCTAAAAGGTTTATCATTTTTGCATCCTGATGTTAATGTTGTTTTTTCTACAACGTAATTAGCATGGATCGTCGTCATGTCTAAGTCTTCTGTTCTGAATTGTCTTTTTGATTTTTTTATAGAACTGTTGATTTCGATAACTTTATACTACCTCCGTCCTGGTTTATTGATCCTCATTGAATCTGTGCTAAATTTTGATCATAAATTTGACTAACAAAATGTTCATGCGTGTCATAAAAAATTATATCATTGAAAACTATGTTCAAATATGAATCCAACGATATAATTTTTGTTGACATACACTAACATTTTGTCAGTTATATCTTTGGTCAAAATTTAGCACAGATTACAAAAAGAACTAATAAACTAGGACGGAGGTAGTATTTCTTATTGTATTTAGTTTGTGTTGATTTGGGTAATCGTACAGTTCCGATTTTAGTTGCAAGCGCACCCTCACAAGAAACAGAGGAGAACAACTACTGTTAATACGCACAGCATGCACAGGATTAGCAAAAGCGAAACACCAATTAACGTCTCAAGATTGGCCATAGTTAACATTAACATAACTCACCCAGCGTGCCATGATTTAGAACCGGAGATCTGTTGGAGTTTATGCCTGGCCAGGCATAAACTCCGGCCACACCGCCGGCAATGCCTGCTGGTCGGCGCCCGGTTCGATAGGGACGGACAACAAAGTAAATACTAGTAGAAACTCCTTGCTCAGTGAAGCTTCCACGGCGTGGACGGGTGAGAGGTGGCCAGGTCGACGACGGCAAGCATGGGGCTTCTGACCGTGTGCTCGCTTGAAGACCATTCGACGGTACCGTGGTACACAGCTCCTTGGACCGGTGAGTTGCTGGTGCTCCTCACGGAGATCTGGTACGAGCCCTCCTGCCCTGTATAATTGAACATGAGTGTGCTTGGGTCGATGATCACGCGCACCTCCGAAGGCATGACCACCTTGGCCATGTATATCTCCGGCTCGGAGATCCGAGGCGCGACGTTCGTCAGCGTCCTCACCACAATGAACCCCCTCGGTTGCAGCGGGACCGTGATGCTTGGGTAGTTGAGGTTGGACGGGTGCGTGGTTGGCAGCTCGGAGCATCTCCACGAGTTATTGCATGCAACAGCGCGCAGTGCGGCCTCGCCGAGCGTGGAGCAGACGTGGGCAGCGTACTGCCCCTCCTCGAGCTCGTACACGAGCCCAGGGTCCATGGCCCTGGACACGTTGATGTGCCCAGCTCCCATTTTGTACGCGTTGGCAGCGTCTAGCTGCTCGTCTCGGATTCCATGCCCGGAGTTGTCGACTATGTCCACCGTTGTCATCAGCGCAGACCTGCAGATCATAAAATCAGAAAATATGATCAGTATGATTGCTTCCTAGCTAGTTTATTAGTTAGTGGGCATTTTTACTTGATTGCGGCTGGACTCCAACTTGGATGTGCGCTCTTCAACAAGATGGCTGCGCCGCTTACATGTGGAGCCGCCATGGAGGTGCCCGACTTGAACCCGAAGTACACAGGACCGTCGCTGGGCTTGTACGGTATCCCTCCTAGGATATTGACCCCGGGCGCGAGCACGTCGGGCTTCAGGATGGCGGGGAAGTATTGGCTCGGGCCACGTGACGAGAAATAGGCCACCGTGGGAGCTGGAGTAGTACCCAGAACGGTGCCGCGGTTGAAGTCGACAGCCGCCTTGAGGTGCGGCGAAGATGAATAGTCCTTCAAAGACACGCCATCGTTGTAGGGCACCTGAAGAATCGGAATGTCGCCCATGTCCACCAAGTTTCTGGTGTATCCGCACTCCTTTGAGTCCACCACAATGATCGCTGACGCGTTACTACTCAGCAACTCATCGACGGGACCCTCTTCCACTTCATCCTCTTCTATTTCATCGCAGATGACGACCCGGCCTGAAACACGTACCGCCATCTCGTCTTTCGGGTACACGCACTTGGCGCGATCCCCGTCGTTGCTGTAGAGCAGATCGTGCATAACATCTGGTCGAACTGTCGTCAGCCACTGCCTATCGGCGAGCGACTGACCGGCAAATATATGCAGTGGGTTATGCACGCCCCCAATTACAACCCTCGCCATAAGTAACCGGTCCACGGTGCCGGCTCCCACGGTCATAAGCCAAGGTACGTCGTTCTGGACGGTCGATGGATGTGGGCCCGCATTGCCGGCGGTAGCGACGACGAGGATGCCGGCCCGCATGGCGGCGAAGGAGGCCACGGCAATCGGGTCGTGGTCGTACGTAGCGTTGGAGATTCCTCCGACAGACAGCGAGATGACATCTACCCCGTCGTCCACCGCCGCAATGATGGCTGACAGCACCGATTCGTCAGGGCAGCTCGTTCGGCTGCACCCCTTGTAGACGGCGACGTGCGCCTGCGGAGCGATGCCTGACGCGTTGCCCCTGGCGAGGCCGTTGACGTTGGCGCCTGCGACGAAGTTTCCCGCCGCGATGGTCGCCACGTGGGTGCCGTGCCCGCTGTCGACATCCAAAGGTGGTGCGGAGTTGAAGTAATTCTTGGCCCCGATGATCTTCCTGTTGCACTTGAAGTCCTTGTGGCAGGAGCCCCTCCATCGTTGCGGCGGCTCGATGCCCTCGAATCCAGCGTCGTCCATGGACGGATGATTGTTGGCGATGCCGCCATCCACGATGCCGATTATCATCCCAAGGCCGCCATAGCCAGGCCAGTCTTCGGGCGACTCCTCCACCTGGTAGTAGGGATGTCAGTGGCAAATACATGGCATTCACAATCCCGTTAGTTAATTTTTGCTACTACCTCTTTCCATCTATATAGGGCTGAGTAAATTGCAGAAAAACCACCACATTTGTGAACCCTAAATCAAAAAACCACCACGTTTCGTTTTTTTTTTTGCAAAAAACATCCGGTATTCTGCTGACAGTTTGCAAAAAACGCTAATTGCTCAGATTAGAGCCATTTGACGCCAAACCTGACCGATGGGTCCCAATGTCAGGTCCACTTGGCGGGGAGGAGACGGCACCGTCGATGGGTCTCGATGTCAGCGGTCGCCTCCATCGCGGGCGTCCGCGGCGCCCCTGCTCTGCGCGAGCGCCGCCACCTCTACACGCGGGCCCTCTGCTGTCTCCGCGGCTCCAGCTGCCGGCGGCGGCTATGGCTTACTGCCCCCGATCTCGTCCGCTTCCCGTAGCGGCGTAGCCCCCTTTTGCCTGAGCACCCATCGTTCCCGGCCACCTCGCGAGCACCTGTGTGCCGCGTGCGCGTGCTGCACCTCGGTCGTGCTTCCGCAAGCACGGAGCGCCACGCGCGCGTCCTCAGGTGCTCGTCCGCATGCTCCGGCGAGCAGCCGGCGTGAGTTCAGAGCACGGCTTCGTCAACGCAGGACGTCTCGGGATTCCTCCGACATGGTTTTCTCCTGCTCAAGGCGTCTCTGGCCGCCGGGATGCTCCTCGCCAGATCTGATGACCACGGATGAGCGGCAGACGGCGCCGTCTCCAGGCCGAGCGCGGAGGTGAGGCTGCGCACCGCAGCTGGTTGCGCCGCGTAGCTGGCAGCCGCCCTGCGCTTGCGGTAAGCCGGGAATGCCGCGTCGGGTGAGGTAGACTCTACCCACGGCGCCGCTGGCTGGTGCCTCGGGTCATGCACTCATGCGGCCATAGCGAGCTCCCTGTGCGGAGATGGGATTCGCCCAGGAAGCGGACTCTGCGGTTCGGCAGAGCCGACGAGGCACTCGGACATGGCTACGGACTCGACGGTTAGGCCGGCGCCGTCGGGCTCCACATCCTGTGCGCGAATGGAGACGAGGCGTGGGGTGGCGCCATCGAGCTCCTAGACGTCCCACCACACCCAGGAGGCGGACTTCACGCCAGGGGTCGGCGCCAGCGAGGCGCGCGGAGATGGCTGCAGACTCGACGGTCGGGCCGGGTGGGGCAGGTGCATGGAGCGGCGGCGGTGGTCGGCATCGCGCGCACCAGGTGCTCGATGAAATGAAGGGAAGAAAGATAGCGAGGAATAGAGACGCTGTAGGGTGGGCCCCACGTCATCCTAATGGCTCATGCAAACGGTGTGATATTTGACCTCCAAGTCAGCACTTACAGCTAGGTCCCACCTGTCAGATTTCCAGTCAAACACCTTTTATCGACTGATTAGTGTTTTTCGCAAAAAGATTACTGGATACCGGATGTTTTTTGCAAAAAAAACGAAACATGGTGGTTTTTTGATTTAGGGTCCACAAATGTGGTGGTTTTTTGCAATTTACTCATATAGGGCCTAAGACGTTTTTCGAGGCTAAATTTGACCAAATGTTAGAGCAATAATATATGGCATGCAACTTGCACAAAGCATCCGCCAAATTCATATGTGAAAGGAGCTTTCAATGATGTAATTTTCACATTATACATCTCATGTATTATTAATCTTGTCAATAGTCAAAGGCGGTATTGAAAAACACATTAGACCCTATATATATGGAAGGAGAGAGTAGCCTGATAGTTCATTTTCATCAAACTAACAAAAAAATCTTTTTAAACTATCAAATCATAAGTGGATTTTAAACGGGATTAAACGGACCAGTTGACATCCCTACCTGGTAGGGGAGGCCGAGGAACGCCGGCGTCCGCGTGGTCTCCAGGTACCGGATGACGTTGGGGAAGGCCCGGATGACTCCCGGCTTGGCGGAGACCCGCTTCACCTCCCTCTCCGTCAACCGCGCAGAGAACCCGTGGACGAGGGTTCGGTACGACCGCCGCAGTCGCGGCTTGCCGAGGGCCGTCTTCATGGACGGCAGGAAGGACTGGTGCCATGCTTTGTGAGCATCGGCATCCATGTGTTGGCCTCCTGCCGGTGGCTCGAGAAGGACGATGTACGTCCTGTGGCCGGCTTCGTCAGCCGGCTCGAGATGCGCCTCCCTCCGATCTTCCTGTACGGTGTAGGAGGCATCGGTGCTGATCACCGCCGCCAGGAGCAGCGCCGTGATGCATGGTGCGGGCAAGAGGGAGCGGTGGGTCGCCATGCTATGCTGCGAGCGGGCAAGATGATGTGAGGGAGGATCGGAGCAGTGGCGCATGCATGCTTACATACTTGATTTCTCTTTTTGAGAAATAAAAACCACAGGTATAAAGATCATGTACAGCAAATTATTTTTCTTATTACGTTGCCGGTAGCCCTCGTCGTCCATATGCTAGCTTTAATACTCCCTCCTTTCCAAAATCTTGGGAGTGCAAGTCTTTGCATGCAGTCCCATATTATAAGGTGCACATGACTTTTTCTCTCCCATTCAGTTTTTTTTTGAGGGGTAAAAACTGAACTTTAATCAACTGAAATCATACGAGGTACATACATAAACTGGGGGGTGTCCGTCAGCCACAAATGACGCCCCAAATCAAGAGAACATGAGGCTTTTGCGAGGTTATGGGCCTCGCTGTTGTGCTCCCGCTTTTCGTGCTCCATACGAACGTCCTCCAGCTCTCTCATCTTCAGCTTTATATCATGAATGATGGTGCTGCTGGAGCCCATATAAATCTGATTCAGATTATTGATGGTCGCCATACAATCAGTTCCTATGTGAACCTTTTTCACATACAGATCATCAACAAGAGCCAATGCTTCATTAAAGGCCATCGCTTCAAGAATCTCGGGATGAACAAGGCCTTGAACAACAACTGCAGAGGAACCCAAGTACATGCCCTGTTCATCACGACAGATTGCTGCAAACGAGCCTCTATCATTGTTCCTAGAGATAGCAGCGTCCACATTAATCTTCACATGACCTTGCGATGGAGGAATCCAGCTCCTGTTTATCTGTCCACGTGCTATGCTCGAAGTGGAGCCGCCCATACGCACTGTCGACGGCCCCGGAATCAAGGCCAAGTCTGCCATGATTTTTTCAACGAATTTGAAAGTGCTCAAAGGTAATTGGAACTCGCTCTCGTGGATAGCCTTTCGACGGGCCCACCAGATCGCCCACAAGGTGACAAGCACTTTGATAAAATCTGCAGCTTGCATAGACTCCATCAAATCCCCCATCCGGAGTCGTGCATCAGATGAATTGTATGCAATCAAATGCTCTACAATTTCCTCATCAATCAGACTCCAAACACACTTGGACATAGTACAATCAATCAGAGCGTGGCGCCAAGAATCTTCAGCTCCTTTACATATTTGACAGAGATTTGAGTCTGACATATTTCTACCAGCCCTAACAGCTTCGGTTGGGACAGAGTTTCGTGCAAGGCGCCAAGCAAAATTTCTTGAGAGAATTCCTTATCTAACACTACCTTAATTTTTTTTGCCTTATTTGACACTGCAAAACTTTTTCTTCCTTATATAACACCAATGCTAAAATTTGTTCCCTTTATAACATTTCCATCCATTTTGACCTCTAACGGTGTGAAATGACACCTGAGAAGACGATTTTACCCCTGATGAACTTGTGATCAAAATTCTTCCCACAGTAAAAAGCAACAGTTTTTTCACAATTTAGTTCAAAATTTGGGCAGAACCTCCCCTGTAATTTGATGCACATCCAGATCACACAATTCACATATACATATATTTCAACAAATAGTATTCAGATTTGCACATAAACATACAGGCCCCCATCCAAGTACACATATATCGCTTCCAACATATACATGATCACATATGAGTCCAATCCCACACATACATCATAATCTACATCATATGAGCAACACAAAAGGATTGTCATCATGTCCAGGTTCGCGTACATAGTCCAAGTCCATGATATGGACTACACAAAAGTGACATAAGGTTCCCATATGAGTCCAAGTCCACACAACATGACTTGAGCAGCAACAGAAGTGACTCTAACTAAAAGAAATTAAATTTAGTTCACAAGCTAAGTCTTCTTCTACTCCTTGTGCTCATTGCGGGGCTGGCTGGGTTAGCTTTTTTGCTTCTTGTGCTCATTGCGGGGCTGTCGAATGGTGGCACCATAGGACAACTTTCATCCTTTTTAGCAAGCTCCATCTTCTTCCCCTTCCCTGATCTGCACTTGTACATGTATGGCAACAGTAGTCTTAGAGCAAATAACAATATGAACTATGCATAGTATTTGACATTAAAATTCAGAATTAGCACAGATCACCTTTTACAAGAAATGTTCACAAATATGTTCACAAATGTTCACAAATGGGTAAAGTTAAACAATTACCATCACGGTACACTTATCTTCTATTGTAGAAGCATGTATCCTCCAGGGACAATTATCTGCATCCCGTCTTGAACAATAGCCCCTAAACCGATGACGGGTACTATACTCGGTGTTATACTCAAATTCACGTTTGATTGCATGCTGAGAAAGTGCCAACTTGAACTCTTTCATGCTGGGATATGTAAAGCCTTTTGTCATTGGAGGGTCTAATTTGTCATACTCTACATGTGGAGTATGCTCTGCCTCATGCAACTCCTCATCCTCCTCTACTTCAACCTCCTCTACTTCATCATCCTCTACTTCACTCTCAGCCTCACTATCATCCTCACAAATATAGTCTTTGTCCTTCTCTTTATTAGGACAAAGAACCACATTTAAGGGAATAGGTTCATCCACTTCATACATATTCTCCTCATCAACACCAACATGCTCATTCTCAGGTCTTGGGTTGCGAAGGTAAGTATCATCCTCTTGTTCTACATTTTTATTAGGTTGGCTATGCGCATCACTATGCCACTCGGTGATAGGCTCATACGGTTCAGATGGATCACAATATGCAATGATCATACACACCACCTTTGTCTCCGAGTGTTTCTCAAACATAAGCATTAAATCTTGGTCACATTTTACTTCTGGACAGATTTTAGAGCATCATCATAGTACTGCACATGTGCAACTTCCAAATAACGCGGAGAGTACTGCTCTACAATTGATTCAATGAAATCCTTATAGTTTGTCAAGTCACAATCAATGATCTTCTCGAAACAGAAACATCGGATGTCTTTTCGAGCTTTTTTTTGTTGCCAAACAATTCAATTTTTATCAAATAACTTGAATTTGGATCCATCCTGTGAATTCAAGAGACAATTAAGTGAAGAAACTATGCATGAGTATTGCTAGATAGTTCTGATCATTGCTAGTGGTACAAACATCATACAAATCCATTAAGTGCCATGAACTTACCCATCTGGACACGCCCATGTAGCGGAGGCCAACCGAGCTGCACCCTGGCCTGACCCTGCAGCTGCTGCTGAGGCCGATTCAGCAGCGTATTGGCCTGAGCCTACAGCTGCTGTCGAGCCCGAACCAGCCATACCTTGGCCTGAGCCTCCAGCCACGTCGGCGGTTGAGCCCTCAGCCCATGCCCCGCCCTGGCCCATGATTGCTGCAGCCGAGACACCGCCTCCTGCCGAAGCCGTGCACTGACCCGGCCCCTCCGCAACCGTAGCCGCGCGCTGGCCCGACCCCTCTGGACCACCGCCGTCGCCAAGGCTCGCCATCACCGGATCCGTGGGGGCGCCAAGGTCGGACCCCTCCGCCGCCGCGCACTGGCTTTCCTCCGCAGCGCCTTCCCCATCCTCAGCACCACCACCATCCATGACGCCGAATCTTCGCCGCCGCTAGCAGGTTCACCGCCGTCGCCGCCGCCCGCAATCGCTAGGGTTTGAGAAAGGGGAAGCGGGGAAGGGGATGTGGATCGCGAGAGAGATGCCCGGTTCGGTTCGGTCCTGTTGTGTTTTCTTTTTTTTTTCATGCTTATGGGCAGGGGCATTTTTGTCCAGCTAAAGAAAACTGACATCACTTCATGCCTGTTTTAACGGTGTTAGCTAACAGAACTGACGGGAGTGTTAGATAGGGGAAAAAATTTATACATGATGTTAGATAAGGAAGAAGAAAATTTCCAGTGTTAAATAAGGAACCAATATTTAAAATAGTGTTATATAAGGAATTTTCTCAAATTTCTTACCTTCCCTGGTACCTTATTTCTCCAGAGTTTCTTCCATTGATTCTGAGCACCTTGCCAATTGGAGGTTGCTGGTTTTCCCTCCAGCCACGCCTCCCTTCTTCTCTTCGTATCGACCAGGAGCCGATAGGCCGACCGGACAGAGAAAATTCCATTTCGTTCATAATGCCATGCCCATCTATCGTCAAGATTACGCGAGCACAACGGAATGTTCAGAACAACCTGTGCGTCTGGCACCTGCATATGTTCAGAAATTTGCTGCCTATTCCAGCTCTTTGTTGGTTCATCAATGAGGTCACTCACCCATTCAGGAGGATTAGCCGATCTCGGGTGTAATGCTCGCAACATGGAATCACGTGGAAGCCAATTATCCTCCCACACCCACGTCGATCGACCGTTACCAATCCGTCTAATAAGACCTTGTTTCAGCACCCCAACCCCCCCGTGGATCGCCCTCCACACCTGGGAGGGGTTCCTTCCTAGCTCAGCCTGCAGTACATCATTGTCTGGATAGTACACCGCTTTGAGAAGCTTTGCACTGAGCGAGTCTGGATCTTGCACAAGCCTCCAAGCTTGTTTGGCCAGCATGGCCAAGTTAAAAAGTTGAGTATCCTGGAATCCCAAACCTTCTTGATATTTTGGCATCGTCAGAATCTCCCAAGACACCCATGCAACCTTCCTATTCCCTTCTTTGCTGCCCCAAAAGAACTTTCTCAGCATAGTATCGATTTGCTGGCACAAACCCCTTGGCAAAAGAAAGCAAGACATCGAGAATGTAGGAACAGCTTGAGCTACTGATTTAATAAGAATTTCCTTGCCCCCCGCCGCCATGCATCTCTCAATCCATCCTTTAACCTTCCCCCATAATCTATCCTTGATGTACTTGAAAGAATCGTTTTTTGACTTCCCCACATCTGAAGGTAGACCCAAATACCTTGGTGTAAGCAACTCATTCTGGACATCAAGAATACCTTTTATCATATTCTTCCTATCACCCGGGCACTTTTTGCTGAAAAAGATGCTTGATTTCAAAAGATTTACCCGCTGACCTGAAGCCCCACAATATTGTTGGATGGAGTCCCTGATAGTGGTGGCT